GCATTGGAATTTACTCCAGGAATGTATTATTGCTTAGAACCAGACTAGGATTTCTAGAATCGCTTCAATTGTGGAATTTCTTCCCTGTGTGGTTGTTTTCATTCAATCAATAAGTTACTATCTTAAGTGGCTTTTACACAGATCCTGCAGCTGGGATCCAGAATTTGACTTTGGAAACAAGCAAATACAAATCAATCTCAAACTGTGAAATAACGTTTGTGGCCCAGAGGCAAAATACATACTTTTTTTTTAACCACTTTTTACTGGTTCTCTGGTGTGACTGTTCAATGGCTTCAAAGTGATTCCAGGAGGCATTTTTTACTGCACTTGCTCGAGAATCCTTAGTTGGATGCACAGCTAGACCTTATTTTACTCCAATGAATCATAATGTAACTTATTTTGTCCATAACCTAATTATCTATACGTTATACTAAAATTTATATTTTCCCTGTTTGAGAGCTTTAGGCTAATTTTAGGAAATCTATGTCACTTCTCTGTACATTTACAGGATATAGACAATACGTTTCATATGCCTAGTTTGTTGCCTTTCTCTCACTCTCCACACTGTCATGTTTCCTATTATTAGGCTCTGCTTTAGACTACGTCGTACAATGCTTTTTTCTTGTAAGAGATTTATTTGCTTTCCTGGATTATTGACAATGAGAATGTACAGGCAGTTACTTCTCTTACAGGGAGGATTTGTCACACCATAAAAACATCTGTCAAGTCAACTCCACTTGGCGATTGTCTGTTAGGAGGTTTTGAGTCACGCCAGAAAATAATCCCACCATAGTGCTCCTCCACAGTAATGAGCCTAGCTCACAGAATCCCATTTTACAAATCTCATACTCTCAATTGTTGCTGAAAACAGGCAAGTTTCCTCTGTCATTGGCATGACTCCAAACATCTGAAATGTTAGAACATGGTGCTCTTACTTGGAAAAGGTAAACAATCCCTGAATGCAGAACTGCCTTGCCTTCCACTACAGTTATTTTGCTGATGGGGCAAAAAGGCAGCAGGAATTCTGTAAGAAAAGGTGTGTTTGGGTAATTTGCGGGTCAGGGAGGAGAAGACTCCAAACCTGATAAACAGTGTTCGGTTTAGGTATCTCTATCCTGGAAATGATGGAAGAGAACAAAATTAAGACTGTCTTAAACCTCTCAATTTCAGCTGCTGGAACCCCTAAGAACTAACAAAATGCTAGTAGTCACCATCTCATCGGGGCTTTGAAAGTCAAGCCTCTTGGTCTCCTGAATGGTCTCATTTGTCTAATGCTTGGAACGCTTGGGTTAAAAAAACATATGTCTGGATCTTAGCCAGAGAATCATAATTGTCTGGATTAAATGTTTAATGATAAGTTTCCAATTAGATTTAAGGAACAATTTTTCCTGAATGTAACCCAAACTATTTTTTCTTAATAAATAAAAGGATGGTGAAAAGGCAAATTGCTCACTATTCAAACTGATGGAATTGTTTTCATTAGCCTCATCGATGTAGATGGAAAAAAGATTAATAACTTTCCCCACATCACACATTCAACCGGAAGCAGAACAAAAGGAAACAAAATTAGCATTTTCTGATTATAACTCCACTATGAAAAAAGAGTCCAGAATTCCCTCACTTTGAGCTTCCAGAGTAGATGGGGAAAGTAATAGGCAGAGATATCTATGAGTGGGGTACGCCAGACCTGATCCACCTCTCAGTTTTCACTCATTCATTCATTCGTGTCTGTCAACATACATTTATTAAGCACCTCCTATGTTCTAAGCAGATCCCTGAAAACACAGATTCTTTGCTCTCAGCTACCCACCACCAACCAATAAGCAAACCAGAGAAATAAACCTATTTCCATTGAGTCCATTCCCACTCAGAGCAACTCGGCAGGGCAGGGCAGGGCAGAATTGCTCCATTCGTTTTCTGAGATGATAAATTATTATGGGAGTATATGGCCTCTTCTTTATCCCATGGAATTGCCGATGGGTTGGAACTGCCAACCCTTGCATTTTGCAGTCCAGTGCTTAATCCGTGTCAACGCCACAGTTCCTTCCACCCTAGAGTACTACAGAAGAAAGGGCTGACAATCTGATTCCAGCCGAGCACTGTCATGGGGACTAAGTACCCTTGCACTACTCCTAGGAGGTGTCCTCTCTTCCTCTTGCCCCTGGCATTTAAAAACCGAAGAAGAATACAGACCCACCCAGAGAAACGAACTTAGAAAACACATAAGGTAGATGGACAGAAACAAATCAGGACTGAGGTAGATGCCAGGGACTTTGAGTAGAAAGGTGTTTGAAAGGCTGGTTTGCCCAGCGACTGGGTGGGTCAGTTGAACATTCTGAGTTCCAGTTTCCACATATATAAAATGAGGGGCTGAAACAAATTATCCTATAATCCTTCTAAACTTAAGCAGCTGCACTAGCATCCTAGAGTCTTACGTGAATAACATCCTGTACCCTAAGAAGCACGGGTCATTCTCCAAGCATGCCAACCTGCCCTGAAGACAAGCTTTATGATAGGCAGGAGTTTATCACACAGCACTGTGGAATGAAGTCCATTTCCTTTACAAACAAAAGCAACGGGGGTGTGGAGTGGGGGGGGGCAGTTAATTTAAAAGAGACAGAGGAAATAAAGGATCTTTCCTTCCTGTCAGGGAGAAAGGAAGGACTGACAACACCCTTCCTTACAGAGCCTAAAAAGTTGGGGTGGGGTGGGTGGTGGGTGGAGGACTTGTCTTTCCTCTGAAAAGTCGATGTTGGCGCCTTAGAACTAGGTGGGACGTCCCTCTCCCCATACCAGCTCCTGCTTTTCCGCCGAGCTGCAGAGCTACCTGGACAGAGGTGGCTGCCCACAGTCAGCAAGGAGAGCGGTGCCCAGGCTCTATTGCCTGGCTCCCAAGCCTGCACAGGAGAGCGTTGCCCTCTAGCGACCAGATGCGATCATTCAGCGCTGCCTGCTCTTAGATTGCGCAGGGTCCCCCACTGGGAATGGAACTTAGCCTTTTGCTTTGGGGCTCTTTGTTTCCTTCTAGGGTCAAGAAAGAGTTGATAGTAGATAAATGATAGACGTATGCTAATTCAGATGAAAAATGGAAAGATTAATGGATGCAGATGGTTCTAAACATGGTTGGAGGGCTTGCTATGGAAAAGGGAACACGTCTAATATTTTTTATTTACCCCAGAACCCTATGAATCCTTTACTACCTCTGTTCCTATTGTCAAATAAGGAGACAGGGACCTTAGAGAAAATGAGTAGCTTGGCAAGATTTGGGATCCAGGAAGAGGTCATCTCTGGCTGCAATGTGTCTGGTCCTGCCACTGGCCCTAGGGCCTCTAAGGGAGGAGCGGAGCGCCTGGTGCACAACATCCAGCGCCAACCCCAGGATTCCACCCTCCTGGCTCCCTGGCAACTCTTCGCTTCCGCCAGCCCCACCGTCGGCGGGCCCCTCTACACGCCGCCAAACTCGGCGGGCCTGGGAAGCCCCCTGGGGAAACTAGATCAATGCGTCCCTCCGGTGTTGGCTGAAGTGGCGCCTGAGAAACCCCGCTCAGGAAGGTTACCTTTCCCTGCTGCCGCCCGGGGCAAGGCGTCTCACTAAACAGGAAAACTTCCGAGCTTCCCAGAAAGTTCCAAGCACGCATTCCTTTCATCTTTTATTGAGCCCCTGCTGAGTACAGAAGACGTGGTGACATTGGGGACAGGGAAATTTGGTACTAACGCTGTCAGCCGCCCCCACCCCCTCTTCCGAACTCCCCCGGGGTCCACAGACACCACGTGTCTTCGGGGACTGGAAGCCACCCGGCTGGATCCCACACCTGGGCGCCTCTCCGGGCTCCCCATCGGGACGCCTGTCGCCCCGGGCATCCCCCCCGCCCG